AAAATTTTCAAAATTTTTCAACACTTCTGAAAGTTGCCAATCATTTGGGCATCCCATTCAAATTTGTTAATTTATTCATTTATTATTCTTGTGTTAATTTATTGTTACAGATGTGGTATATGTTCCAAATCTACTGACCAGCATTTATTGGCTCTTTGTGATACATGTAGTAAGTTTTATCATCTCGGGTGTCTAGATCCACCATTAACAAGAATGCCAAAGAAAACCACATACAGTGGATGGTGAGTTTTGCTAAATCTCTTCTTCTCGAAATAATAGGATCACATCATCTTATAAAACCTTGGCATATCTATAATCTTTATAGACAAGTGTGACACGAATGATGTTCCATCTATTGTCCCATCTTTGCTTAACCTTTTCCCCACCAACTACCTCTTATCATCACAAATTCAAAAAATAGTCCCGTTTATAGTCTGCACTTTCTTTCAGAAGATTGGGACAAAAATGGCAAAATTTTTTGAGTAAAAACTGAATATTGACTAAAATTTTATCTGTTGGCTCCAAAATTAGGGTTGATTTCAAGAAATATTGAAGAATACAAGAAAAAAGTGCAGACAAATTTGGGAGAGAAAGTCTGGTGGTGAAAAAGTTAATATTCAAATTTTTGCATTTGTTACTAGGCAATGTTCAGAGTGTTGTAGCAGTGGAAGTGACAGTTCAGTTGCACCAGTGGAGGTGACTGCTGAACCGACTCCAGACAGTACGACTAGTGATAAAACACGGCGAAGTCGACGACAGATAAAAGAACCTAATAAATTCACACCAGTTCAAGCATTGTATGCTGACAGTAAAAAAATAGCTGTATGTATAATTCTATTATGTATTGTTGTATAACACTAACAATCTGTTTGTATTAAGTTGCTTGAGTTTTAAAAACTAAGAATTGAAGTTGTAGTGATTGTGATGTGCACAAGTGATCCCCTGCACAAGTGTCTCTTGCAAACTACATGTTTGTACTTCTTAAAACTGATAAATTACTATTTTATTCATAAAAACCTGAAATCAACATTATGCTAATCATTATGTTGCTGAATTTGCGTAGTGCAATATGCACTTTTTAAGGAGTGCTTTTTTCTTATGAAAACTACATACCTAATTCAATGTATCCTCGGAGGTGGACATCCAGGCATTTTCTACCGCCTGGCAACCCTCGCGGTGAAAACAAAGGCCAAAACTCGCAGAAAACGGTACTTTGGGATGGTTGTTGAGAGTCCCCTGAACAGTGTAACAAGATTAGCCCTACATGTGTAACATATATAAATTTGGTTGTTCAGGATTACTTCAAAGTTGAGTTTGTGTTGTTTTCTCAAATTTTCACCGGCTCGAACGGCGTTCCACAGCAGTGCGCCCAGAGCCCATAGAAATGCATGTACAGTGGTGCACCTCTTAGCAACATGGAACGTCTTGTGACGTAGCTCCGCCCCCGACGATTTCAGACATTTTGACCAGTTAATGTTGACACTTATTTTCATAGATTATCAGATGATTTCCATTCTTGATTTTGTGCACATCAATTGCCCTGTTGTGTAACCAGCCAATGCGTGATAGAAATTTTTGGGAGCGGACATCGGGCATTTTCATCGCCTGGCAACCATCACAATGAAAACAATTCCGATAACTCATAGAAAACGGTACTTTGGGATAGTTTTGAAACTCCCTTGGGCAGTGTGAACAATTGCCCCTGCATGTGCAACATATATAAATTTGGTTGCTTATGATTACTTCAAAGTTAATTTTGTGCTGTTTTCACGGTGGCCGGTGTTCCACAGCAGCTCGCGCAGCCCCCATAGAAATACCCTGGTACATTGGTGCGTGTCTTAGCAACATGGAATGTTCTGTGACATAGCTCCGCTAGATGGATTAAATGGGGTTACAGTGCAAATTGCTCATAAATTGCCACAATCAGTGTCACTTGGTGGTTTGATGTGCTTCCCATGCTACATGTACAATGCATGTAAAACGTATAGTTTATTTATGAGATCAAAACATGCACTGTGTTATTTTTACAACACTTAATTAACAAAAATCATGTGTTTGACTTTTATCGCGGCAAACGGCTTATTGGATCTTGCTGGTATTTGAATGGTAAGGACTGATTTTTGTTGATGAACTGGTTGATAAGTAATTTGTGTATTAAAAAGTTAGAATTATGTAAACTAATGTTACTTTGTTTTGCATGGAAATTACAGGCTGTTATGTTCTTGATTGTAATACTTATGCATGCTGTATGAACAAGTAATAGGCATTTTTCATGATTGAAAAACTTATTAAAATATAACTAAATCATAGAATGCATTACAATGCGTGTAAAACATGAAATGAGGACAACCTATATAGATGATAAAAACAATTTCATCCCTGAGTGCATTTCTTTGCTGTGATTTACATTGATTTATTGAGAATCTAAAGAATTTTATCGCCTGAACAAAGCCCTTGAGAAACTATTTTCAAGATACGAGTGCCTCTGTTGATAATTCTACTGTTAACTCATTCAAATCAAACATCTTTAAGAATAATTAATCATTGTAATAAAGAGAAAAAAATGATTATACTTTTGTCAATTTTTCTGATATAAGAGCGATGATGACACTAAGTTCCCTGTTGTCAGCAAATACAACTGTTGAAAACCTGAACACCTGAGCTTTCATTTTCCACCACTGTTACTTGAGAAATGTAAGATCATAGTTGGACATTATGTCTCACTTGTATACATGTAATGTACCAGAGAGTCATACTGTTATTGTATGATAGACAAATCTGAGGGTTATCTAGATCCTGAATCATAATTGCATATTACTGAAAAATAATTCAATTCAATTTAAAGAAATACATGTATTTCTAAGGTCTATTGTCAATCAAACTCGAGCACTTTCTTTTGCATAATACATGCCATGCTATGACTGATCAAACAAGTGTAATTTACCCCAAACCCCATCATGTTTTAGTTGACCCTAATATTCAAAGTTCATCTCTAATGCCAACTGTGTATGTGCTGTCACAATTCATTTATTAAGCACAGTTTCACAATAGTACCAACTCCCAGAAGTATGCATGGTCAAAGTTAGGTTTTGTTGCTTACTTTGTGTGCAAATTGTCTTTTTACATAAATCTTGTGCAAGTGTTTCTCCATATTCTGGTTCTGACCATGGAGGTAAAACAGAGTCTTTTACCTCCATGTTCTGACATGTGTGAGCAAAGCTGACAAACCTCATTTACAATAGAGTTTGCACTGATTCTCTTTAAGATCTTATCCGCAAGGGTTTATTATATTTTTTATAGAAAATCAAACATAAGAAGTTCAGAAAAGACTATGAACCTGTAAAACGCAAATTGTCAACAACACTGAGTGATGGCGACAGCATAGAGTTGGTGAGTGCAACGACATTGTTATCTTGTTAATTTTCTTGCATCTTTCTAAAGCTTGTTTTTTGGGTTCTAAAATCACCAAATTTGAACATGTCATCTGATTTTATTCAAATTTGCTATGAATACATGTATCACAGATGCAGTGATTTGATTCAAAATGGCCAACTGGTGTCCATGTTAGTGTTATTTTTTTATTTTTTTTTTTAAATTTCATTACCTATTTTGTTTTTCCCGTTTTCGGCTTACTAAGGATTCACATTAACCCATAATATTGAAAACATGAAGCAGATGATGTATAATCTTTTAATTTTAGACATGTTTGGAATAATAGTTTTTTTTTAATCAAAAATTAGAAGAATTTAATGCTTAACGATGATAATAGCCCATTGTGGAAACAAAGTTTACCCATTCATGCTTAGCCACAATGAACATCATACTCTTGAATATGCATCAATAACTATGGAAAACCTAAATTAGATTCTAATCTAGGCGTCAGGAATGATTGAAATGTTCAAAAAATGACTCCTAAATTAGAGATTATATGGTAGATCATTTTGACTTGTTATATAAGATCAAGTAATCCAACTAATACTGTAATCTCTTAATAGCCAAGTTCGCCACCACCACCCCCGGCGAAACGAGAAAAACGGAAATCTGCTTCCCGTAAATCCAAAGAAATAGACGTACGAACAAAGTGTAGCCAGTGTGGAGAATCGGGTGATAACTCCACGCTAGTAAGGTATGTATGGCATAAACCTTTAATGTAGAAATGATGATTCATGGGAATATCACGATTTATGTGAGGATGTCACTAAATCTATCAAAACATGTTCCAAAGTTAGCTGTATTTTTTTTTTAATTTACTAAAAAAAAATTGTTTTCTATTTGCAATTATCATATTTACTAACAGTCAAAAAATCAAAAAGATTCTAATAGCACCAAGACTACCAAACGTTTATACATTATATTTCGTCTAACGATCATCAAATTTGTACGAATAAAAAAGCACTTTCTCAGATTAAAATCAGGAAGCTCTGAATCAAACCAAAGCTGAAATAGTAAGCTACATGTATCTGCACAAATCCACTTAGATTTACTGCCCCTAACATCATTTATGGACAGCTGAGCAACCAGGGAACACAAATCTCATTTATTCAATATTGTTACTCTAGTATTTTATTTTCGGATTTGGAGGCTCTGCACCCTTGAAAGACTTCGCAACTTCTTGCAGACATCAGTTTTTATCACTGTCTTTGTATGGCTAACAAAAGCGGGGTTACCTTTCGATCAATACATGTTATTGTTTTAAATACGTGCAAGACGAGACTGACACTTGTAAACAAAGCAATAAGCATCACGGGCGAGTGACTAAGCGTCACGGACAAAGGGCAAGCATCACGGCCGACTGTCCAAGCGTCACGGTACCGTGTCGCTTCAGAGGCCTGGGGAGAACACTGTATTGCCAGAACTGAAAAAAATTACTGTTAAATACTTTATTTTAGCTGGAACTAATTTTCACTGAAAATGCATTTTGGGTGTTTTGTATAGAATTTGATTTCACTGATTTTTGATGAGTTGAATGTGAAATATAGGAAAAAAAGTATATTCGCTCAATTTTATTTTCACAAAATCATCCCTTCAGCGGAAAAAAATTCTAAGTGAAAATGAAGTATTCTACAGTGATCTCTATTACTATGTCTGTCACAGACGATATTATGTTATCACCAACTTTAGGTCATGTGATTGTTGCTAAATTACCAGCTGCTGCATTGAAATGGAGGCATACTAAATTATGTGAATTGCTGCTCTTCCTGGATACATAAATACCATATTGCCCGACTCAGCGCCCTTGGTACAGAGTGGGCAAAATCAAACACCCCCTCAAAAAATTTTTCTAATTGTGCCAGATTAGGGGGAACATTGCACCTCTTGGGGTGGGGGCCTACATTTTTGGAATAGGTTGCATTGTCATTGATTTTGACAACACTGTTACAATGAAGTAACTGAAATTGTCACAAAAATATGCATATTTTATTACAATATTAATTACAAACCATCATCATTTACGAATTATTAGGGTCTGTGGGAAAACTGTCAAAGTAATTATTTAGTGTCTTTGTTGTTGAATGTTTTTGATTGTATGCAATCACTTGATGCAAAGCGATTCCAGTCATGTTTTTTTTTTGACCTGCAACAACGTCCTGTGTCTTGATAGGTTAATCTTGTTAATAAATGAATGTGTCATGCTGACATAATTTACAGAGAAATTATGAATGCTGATGATGGCATTTTTTACAACACGATGTGGAAGTGCATTGACAGCAATCCTACAAAAGTGGGTGGTGGACGCTTAGTCGAGCATGAATGGTAATGGGGGGATTGACATGTTCACGCATTTTTGATTCATTTGTTTTTTTAACCTTTGGCCAGACACAATTCTAAACTAGGCAAATGCATTGTTGCACTTTTTTTGCAGCAATTTTTGACTCCCGT